GTCGTTATCCCTTTTTTTTTTTTTTTTTTTTTGCAGCTAACGAAAGGCAATGTTATTGAATTGAAAGCTAAGTTAAATTATTACATAATGGCGTTATCTTTAGGGCGAAGTGTATCAATAGCTACTTTTAAGCCTGTTATTTAAAGTATATCTACAATTTACAATGTATTTAAAAATTAGTCAATTCACCCAAATTTCAGTACTAATTATCCTGAATTTAAAAATTCAGGACTTAGTGTCCTGAATTTTTGAGCTGCTAATTTGAAATTCAGGACTAAGTGTCCTGAATTTTTGAACTACTAATTTAAAATTCAGGACATAAGATTCGAACTTGTGGACATGATTTTCGAACTTTAGGAAACGATGTCCTAAAGTTTGAGTTTTGAAGTTTAAACTCTAGGATGTCGTGTCCTGAAATTTAAGATAAATTGGATAATCTTTATATACATTGTAAACTGTAGATATATTTTAAATAGCATGCTTTAAAATGGCTACCTAGTGTCATTTTCATTTATCTTTAAGACCTCCATTGGCCCATCAGCTCCAGCCTATGCTAACTTGTTGGGTTGCAAATACAAGCCAAGCCCAATGCGTTCCACATGGTTTTTTTTTTCAGATTTTACATCCCGTGGCCCTTGGGAGGGAGATTTGCATAAATAGAATGATTTAAGGTCACATTTTATATTTTGTCACCATTAAACGAGGTTTTGCAAAAATAGCCATTTTCGGAGTATTATGTTGCTTTACTTACAAGTAAGATGTGCAGAATTTCTTCCTTGAGGACAAGGAAGCTGTTAGAGAGGGAGAACTGATACAATTTTAGGCTACAGGTTAAAATTAAAATAAGAGTTTATTTTAATTTATTTAGTGTAAATCAAATATATACATTTTATATTATATTCGTATATCCCTTCTTTATCTTTAGTCAATTGAACTAAACATCTACCAATAAAAATATATTAATTAAATACTTATGTCATTATTTAATCCCCATGTTATAATTACGTAGTAACTGATTATCTAACCAAGCAATCTCTTATAGTATTACATTTCCTTTCCTTTACAGTTTAGTCATTAAAAATGACAGCCTGATGCAAAAGATATTTCGTATTCGTACGGGATTCGAGAAAGAATTGCACCTTCCAAGCGCATGTTACGTAAGCAACCTACCTACCATGATTATTGTTGATTTAAAGGCTCGAACCCTGAACTATTTTATAGTTTAGTCTTTCTTTGTTTCTTTTAAATTTAAGGTTATAGTACATATTTAGAGATTAGGCCTAATAGATGTCCTTGTAGTTACTCTTTAAATCCTCTGTCGTGTATGATAAAAATTAAATAAAAAACAAAAATCCTCTGTCAATTCTGTTACGTGAGGTACCGTACGGTTGTCAGTCCAGTCCTTGACCACTACCAAAAAGGAACACTGAGCAGCTGGAATTGGGAAAATATATACAGTATATATAAATATCCCTTGTATGTAAATGTTTTATCTAAAGGCAATGATAGAATTTACTCGAATTTAGTTCGCCTTTACAAAATTTCTTCTTACTATTTTAATGGAGGTCACTGAACAGTTAATTCCTCAGCAATTTAACACTGATAAAGAGGAATCAGCTGAAGTGACGTTTATTAGGTCAAGGAAGTCAACTAAAATAGCTATGGAGAAATTAAAGGGAATTAATCAGCAAATGGCTGAATGGGATGAAGAAGACAAAAATAGAGGTAGAAAAAGAAGGGGTAAAAATGAGAAAATTGGGAGTGAAAAAAAGTGTAAAAGCCAGAAGCTTGAGGGAGAAGAAACAGTAGAAGCAGGATCAGAATCTGGAAGATATTCTATGCTGAAATCAAATATCAGAAACAGAAAGAGGAAGGATGAAAATGTACAAATATCTTAACCTTCTTAATACTACTACTAGATTCGAAAATATGATCATTTAATTTATGAATCTAAGTTATATATATATATGAATACTTTTCCAGCACGTTACTTGCTATTTATTCTAGGTTACAAATCCATGCTTATTAAGTAGAGCTACCTTTAATTTCATTTTAGGTGACCTAATAGTACAAATTATTTTACACCGGCAGTGCTTAGAACTAGATTACGCTGTTACATTTAATGGTATGATCATTTAATTTATTATTCCTCTATGTATGAGTATTAATAGGGGCGGAGCTATGTAGAGCCAAGGGGGTCCAACTGTATTGTGTGCAAATAGGCTATATATAATTAAACCGTTGAATCTCCTAAGATTTTAGCATAGTGGAATATGGGGTTCAAAATTTGCTTTTGGTGTCACACGTTCAAGTCCCAAGTGCGACATTCTAGTAATTTTTTAAAATCCCCTTGCATAAATTTCTGTCTCTGCCACTTAGTACTAATGGTGTATTGTCTTCGTTTTGCATTCAAAAACACGGGCAGGGGAATGAGATTGAATCAAATATGTGTCATCAGTGCCAGAGGAATGACAAAGGGAGGGTTGCTCGTTGCACCAACTGTAGAACAAAGCGATATTGTGTTCCTTGCATGACCAGATGGTACCCAAAAGCCTTGTATCCTCACTACGTTTTTAAGTGTCTTGCTTTCCTTTTTGGTCTGTTTTGGCAAGACTGTCACATTTCTATATTTAGTTAGTTATTAGTGCCCTTAATAACGCTCGAATATCATATGCTTAAGACCACAAGAAAAGGGTATTTTTGGTATATTATACACACCTTTAGTTTAAGAGCAAAAGATTCAAAAGTCTTCTGTACATTCTTAAACCTCATGCCTAGTCAAACTAAGAGACATTAAATCAAATGGAATATATTATTGGCTTTCATTTACATGAGTAATCTTACTGAGATTTTAAATGAAAGTTAGACTTGCGAAGAGCACTCTACACCTTGTGGCTTATTTGAGCAATTTTGTCTCTTGATGAGATATTGCAATTGTCACAATTGATAAGATGCTAAGCATGAAGAGCATTTTAACAACTTGAAGCTTCATATTGTCATATTCAACACCAATTCTCAATTGTGTAGTTTTCTTTTTGTGTTTCTCATGACTGCCTTTTCCCTTTATGATTAATAATAGGTACCATGGGATGCCTGAGGAGGCTTTTGCCGAGTCTTGTCCTGTTTGTCGTCAAATCTGTAATTGCAAAGCATGCTTACGCCTAGATGGGCCTATAAGGGTTGGTTTCTTTTGTTGTTTCCACTTTTATTAAGATACAAGTTAACAGTACATGCTGCACGCTTATCCGGAGTTTTGTTGCAGGCTTTGAAGAATTTACGATTTGAGATAAGTGAAGAAGAAAAGGTTCAGTATTCAAAATTTATCTTGCAAAAACTTTTGCCTCTCTTGAGAAGAATCATTGCAGAGCAAGTGATGGAGATGGAGATTGAAGCTAAGATTCAAGGTTCTATAATCTTGTTCAAAGATCAGATGCCATAACATATATATTTTTCATTCGATATGCAGTATACTTCTCATTTGGGAAACCTTAGTACACATTTTAGATTCTGCTAGGTGATATATAATGGCGCAGCTAGTAAAGATAACAAAATAGTTATATCTCTTCCATTTATTTGCACAGGGTTGAGTTTAAAAGGATTTGAAATGTTAAATAGAGTATGTTTAACATACTTTCTGTTTCCTAGATAAGGAAGAATAGTTCCATGTAGTGGTAGAGAGATACCAACTTCTTCCAAGAAAAACCGAAGGCATCATGCATCTTCATCTGTTTCCTATTGTAGCTAGAATTTCCCGTGTTTACTTGGGCAGGAATACGAGTGTCAAATTTAAAGCTGCAGAAGGAAAAGTGTCATAGGAATGAGCGCGTGTACTGGTAAATATGAAGAACCTCTTTTTTTCCATATCAATTCTCTTGGCATGATTTCCAAATAAACCGAATTGAGCAATGTTTGTGCAGCGACAACTGCAAAACATCCATTGTTGATTTTCACAGATTTGTTCCAGCTGTTCGTATGATCTTTACCTTACTTGTTGCCGGGAGCTTAGAGATGGTCATCTTAAGGGAGGTGAAGAAGTCATCATCGAATTCACAGACAAAGGGGATGCTTATTTGCATGGTGATATGACAGCTATAAATAGAACTTCAAGAAGGAGTAGATTTTCCCAGAACAAGAAGGTTGAAAATGATCCCGTGGGAGATTCCAAGTTTGCATATGAAATGGAGCCTAGGGATAATGGAGGGCTTCCGCCAGAGAATTCTGGTGGTCGTGCTGGTGAATGGAAATCCAATGTAGATGGCAGCATCCCTTGTCCACCGGAGAATTTTGGTGGCTGTGGTTAGGGAATTTTAGAGCTAAAGTGCCTGCTGTCAAATTCAAAGTATCCGGTCTCTGAGTTGTTGGCAAAGGCTGAATATATTGCCAAAATATGTGAATCGGAACACATGCCTGAAGTATCTCAGGGCTCATGCTTATGTATAAAGTTAGTTGATGAAACTGATATGCAGAAAAGTAAATTGCGCAAAGCAGCATCTCGTGAAGATTCAGATGACAATTATTTATTCTGTCCAGCAGCTAAAGATCTTCAGGAGGAGGATCTGAAGCATTTCCAGTGTCATTGGCTGAAAGGTGAGCCTGTGATCGTCAGTAATGTGCTTGAGACTGCGTCAGGGTTAAGCTGGGAGCCCATGGTTATGTGGCGAGCGTGTCGCCAGATGAAGAACTTAAAACATCCCCTTCTTTTAGATGTCAGCACCATCAACTCCTTGGATTGGTGTGAGGTCAGTTTAATACTTCACAATGATACATGAAGCAAAATTATGTACCCTTTTAGGGCGGGGAGGAGGAGGAGGGTTATTTACGTGCGTCTTAGTAATATCTATTTACCGTCTCAGTGTACTTCGTGAAGCATCAATTTATAGTTTTCCTTTCTCTAAATTTAGCTAGACAATGAAATATCTTAGTAAAATTGTTTTACTCTAGTTGCATGACTATATTGAAGAATCTCTCCGTCCCTTTTGCGTAATCTGTGGTTCTGTGGATGACAATATAACTGGGTTGCAAACTGAAATACAAATCAATATACAGAATAGATCAAAATCTAATGCTTGATACAAAGTTCAATGCTATGATTGTAACATCAATGCTAGGGGTTTTAGATCATTTGATGATACTAATTTAGGGTGGGATTTTCAAGCATCCATTTTGGATGTGCATCCTTTGTGCTTCCTTTTATGATAGATGATTCTTTTTTGCTTTTTGTACTTTTTTTTTAACTCATGAAACCCCTTTTTGTGTGAACCAATTATTGTAATAAACTTCTTGACAATGCATTGGAGTTGAGCTGGGAACGTTTGGTTATGTGGCGTGTTTGTCAATAAACAAAGAAGGTTTATCCAGTCATCTATTCTAGAACTGTGAGCGACAAGCTAACATTGTTGCACCTTATGCTATGCCTGATTATCCTAATAACCGCATGACTATGCAAGTTTACTAATTTCTCCATTCTGGTATGGATCTATCCATAGTTTTATAGTTCAAAGTCTTCGTAAAACACAATCGTGGCCCTATTATAGCTTAAAATTTTCAACTTCGTTTGACCAGAAGTCATGCTTGGGATCTTATTGAGTAGTTTTATAAGTGATCTCTTTTTGCTCTTTGGCAAGTGGTATTTGATCTAGTTCCAGAACTTGATCTCATTGTTGTATTTGTCAGCTGTGTGTCTTGTTCATTACATTATGCGAGAGTGAAGTGGCCAAATCAACAAATTGTTGCAAAATGGTTTGAAAGTATTTTAATACTTTCATCCCAAAAGAAAAATGCTTATCCAAAACTTGAACTATCTGCAACTGCATTTACAAGTAACCTCATTGTACGTTCTAGTTACTTCTCTGGATGAGTTTGAGGGTTAAAGGAACACGTCAACAAGAAGGCTTACTTATTGCACAGATTAATGGTGTTCAGTGTAATTAACCCTTAATGTTATAAATAGGATTGGGTGAAAGCCTTGGAGACCAGGGTTCAAATTCCAGTAGAGACAAAAACACTAGGTGATTTCTTCCCATGTGCCTAAGCCTTGGTGGACAAAGTCACCTGGTATCTGTGCTGATGGGAGGTAGTTGGTACTCAGTGAAATAGTCGAGGTGCGCGCGTTAGCACTGCACCACCATTTTAAAAAAATTAATGATATAAATCATCACCACTCTTACAAATCATCTAAATTACTTTGCACAGTAGTTAATCCTGTTTCTTGACATATTGCTTTCCGTTAAGTCTGTTTTAGCTCAAGTGCAGTGTCTCATTTAAAAATTCTAAGTCATATGTAATTAAGAATTTGACTATTTGAGTTTGTGTAAATATGGTTTGTGATAGGTGGAAATAATTGAGGCCTAGATTCTGGTAAATTATATTCTCCATGTTATCTTAAATTACTTGATCCTGGATACCATGCAGCTGGAGATAAATATTCACCAGTTTTTCAAAGGATACATGGAGGGTCGCTTTGACAGTTGTGGGTGGCCTCAACTCTTAAAGTTGACTGACTGGCCACCATCAGGTCTATTTGATGAGCGGCTACCGCGTCATGGTGCAGAATTTTGTAGCTGTTTACCATTTAAGGAGTATACACATCCTCAACATGGCTATCTCAATCTTGCTCCAAAACTTCCTGATAATTGTTTGAAGCCAGATTTGGGGCCTAAGGCATACATTGCTTATGGTTTTCCTAAGGAGCTTGGACGCGGAGACTCAGTCACCAAGCTGCACTATTATGTGTCTGATACGGTATGTCTGGCTCCTGGTGACATGCTGCTGGTACTGTAGAAATCTGGAGGTTTCTGAAATATTAACATGCACACAAACATTTTTGGGGCATTTTGATAAGTGACATTGAGAAACATACGATAAGGCTATCCATGTTCCTGCTCGAGGTCTAATGTTTTCTTGAAATTATCTTTTAGGTGTTTTTGTTGATGCACGCTCAAGCTGCCGTCCTAACAGCTGATCAACTCTCGGCCATAGAGAACCTGAAACAGAAGCACAAAGCGCAGGATCAGAAGGAATTTGCAACTGATGCTTACAGGACTCATGGGAGGATTAAGGATTGGGTCCCTAGTGTAAATGGAAAAACTGTCTTGAATGAGCTGAACGTTTCTCAGGAGAAGCAGAACTGTGATGGTTTGGAAGTGGAGAAAAGTAATAAAGCTGAGAAAAAGAAGTATAGCCAGCAAGGTCTAGAAGCAGATTGTGAAACAAATGGAGAGGCAGACCAATTTCAAAATAGAGAAGACGCAGATGGTGGTGCTCTATGGGATGTCTTTAGGAGGAAAGATATTCCTGAACTGGAGGAATATCTCAGGAAGCACTTTAGGGAATTTCGACACATATATGGCTCACCGTTGCCGCAGGTAAAGATAAGTGAGCAACTTTCATTTACTTGTCATTTTGAAGTTCCTAAAATAATTTATCTTTATCCATGTGCTGCCTCCCCCTGACTATAAGTGCACATTGTCATTTGTTGTTCCTCTCTCTTGGCTTGAATCTCCATAGGCTGAGTTATATTTTGAGTCTGTTTATGATGATCATCTTTTACTTAAATCAATAAGCAGTTAAAGTTAAGAAGCTCTAACTTGTTGCTCATCGCTAAAGATTCTCTCTACCAATCGCTAACGATATTTTGACCTTTATGTTTCGCTTCTTTATTATGTGGAATTGCCAATTTAAAATTCGGGTTTAACGAGCAATCATTTGTTATTATGGAGAGCTATTGACTGATGGTCGGACATTTTGCTATGTGGTGATGGTCACCATAATTACTATGGAGTAATGGCCTGATATTTTGGTTCAGGTGATTGTCATTGTATTTGTTGTAGACTAATCGTGCGATCGTAAGATATTGGTAATTGTCATTATAATCACTTTGAAATTTAGTGTGAAAACATTTATTTTACATTATAGGTCTTCAATTCTGTCGATAGATGTTAGCTATGTTGCTGGTTCCTTATATTTTATGGTTCAGGAAATACATCTCTTAGCTAGCGAAAGTTTCAATTGAAATTTGATATTGCATCAAACTCCTATATATTTGACCTAATGTCCTAATTGATTAATCCGAAAAGATTTTTTTCGTAAGTGGCATTATCACCTTGAAGAACTTCACTTCTACATTGAACACATAAGACCCTGACAGAGCTTTAAAGGGGAACTTGGTGGGAGATCTCTAAAGTTACAATTGCTCATTCAACCCCTTCTTTTTTTCTCCAGTACTAGGTCAACTACACCATATAAATCTGGATGGTGTTTGTCAGAAAGCTTTGTTGGTGGAGTGGAGAACATGTTAAAATCCTTGTCCTCGATGTGTCTTAAGTTTTAAACATTCTCCTGGAAGGTAGTGAGAATAAATTGAGGGTCCTTGCCATACACTGTTTTTTTACTGTGTGTTCTGCTTAGAATGCTTGTCGAAAAATCCTTGTATAGTGATTGAGTCGTGCTATTGTTTTTCCTGTCCTCCCTTTATGAAGAGATAAATGAATTTGTTCTACCATATCTCAGTTTGAATTTAGATACCTGTCTTATTCTTATTGTTCCATTGCAGGTTGTTCATCCCATTCATGATGAGACTTTCTACTTGAGCACAGAGCATAAAAGGAGACTAAAGGAAGAATACGGTCATATTATTCTCTTATTCGTTTGCCATTTCTTTGCACGGCACATTAGCAGTTTTTAGACTGCAGCCTTGCAATTGTTGTGCTCTCATACTTTCCTTTTGCAGGCATTGAACCATGGACTTTTGTTCAAAAATTAGGTGAAGCTGTTTTGATTCCTGCTGGATGCCCTCATCAAATCAGAAACTTAAAGGTATATAATTGGTTCATCTCTCTATCCCGAGTGTGGCTCATTTTTTCAGCCTTTTCTGACAGCAATTTTGTGGTATTAGGGAAGTCTGATAGCACATAGCATGATCACTCTCTTTTCCTGAAAAGTCTGCTTTTAGACCCGTCATAGTCTTTCATATTGCTTTAAAGTATCCTCTATCCAATTACAGCTTCTCGAATGGCACGTATCCTACTGCTTTATGCAGAGTGAGAAAAAGATAGAAATGAAATTGGGCATTTCCAACATGAGTGTCTACAAGAATGGATTTTATTCTGATAGCTTTTGGTGCATAGATGCTAGTGAGGTGTGCAAGAACACTCTGAATATGTAAACATCTGTCCATTATCATGTTGGTCTCTGTTGGTCAGAAGTCCTTTTCATATGTTACAAGGAAGGAGGTAAAAATCAAGCATCTGGTCTGGAATGAAGCCTGAAAATTTATCAATCAATCAAATGTCGAGATAGATAACTATGTCTTGATTTTCTCAAAGTACGCATCTTTCAGTAGTTTCTTCTTATGGATGTATCTTCCTGCACAGATGTGATTTACTCTATAGGATCTTAGCTTAGTGAACTAAGCTCGATGACTACTGGTGTGTTCATCTTTACAGTCCTGCATCAACGTTGCTGTTGATTTTGTTTCACCTGAAAATGTGAATGAGTGCATCCTTTTGACCGAGGAGTTTCGCCAGCTTCCCAAAAATCATGTTGCTAGGGAAGATAAGTTGGAGGTATGTCGATCCTTATTTCTCCTTCCCTTTCTTCTTCTTTTTTTTTTTTTGGGATAAGTGGTGCTCTTGACATGCTTCTGCCCCTCTTAAGCATCTGTAACTAGAAAAGTGCAATCTTTTTTGATTCTATGTTCTTTTCCTCAGAAGCATGGTCAAGAGAATATCATAAAATGTGGATTCTAACCATAAGCACCTAAAGAGCACCACCTAGTAGAAAACTTTATGGAAAGGTAAAAGTCTAATGTCTGGAATATAGTTGTCTTGTGCAAATGTCACATGTTCTTGTTTCGTCGATCACCTTTTCCTAGATTTGTTTCTATTCATTTATTTATTTATGATATTTTATTCTGTTTTGGCATGGAAAAGCTCTCTAACCATTTTCCCAGCATCCTCCCTTTTATCTTCTTTTTCTTTTTTTTTTTTGATAAGAGGGAAACCTGCAGCTGCTACACTTGGTGCGCACTGGGTAAACCTCCCCCTGTGTAATAGCCTGCAAACCACACAGGGGAGGTAAACCGCACTAGGCAAGCCATGTGCGACAGGTTCAACCCAGAAGGCATTGAGGGGGATTCGATCCCAGGTCATCCGTATGGGTGACCGCCCTCCAAACCAACTGGGCAACCCCGAAGGGTTCCTCCCTTTTATCTTCTTACCATGTAGCATGACACGACTGTTTTGGTGATGTTGTAACCAATGTGTTTAAGCAGTTCCACCCTCTGTTCAGCCTTTCGCATTGGAGTCCTTGGTCTTAGATCCTTTCCCAAACTCCTTATTAATTACACTTATTTTTTGAAAATGAACTCCTTATTAATTACTTTGATATGAAATTAGATGTTTAAGTTTGTATGTCCTCATTACATGTTGCAATCTTTACAGTCTGCCTACATTGATGTTAAAACGATATCCATTTGAGAACTGGGTACATATTTTATTTAGGAAATGGTCAAATAAAGCATGTACTACGAAATGGAGCTACTTTGCCATCCGTTAGACTTTTGGTCTAATATTAGCCCTGCCATTAGGAAAAAATCTTGTTTTGCCCTCGACCCCAAAGGATCTCCAACCTGAGGGTAACTTAAACGATAGTCAAAAGTTAAGGGTAAATTTGGACCTTTTTTCTCGAAGAATTTGGAAACATGGAGTCCAATTTTAACGCAGGACCTCTGTTAATGGCGCAAGGGAAAGTACGTGACCATTTGCTAATGGCAATGGTATGAATGGATCAAAAGTGTAATGGAGGACAACATGGAGCAACTTCGGATAGTACAAGGACAAATATGGACCTTTTCTATTTAGTATCATATGGCATGTTCTTTTTCTCACTGCAAACAGTGTGTGCATGTTTAAACATTATGTAAATTTGCCTGTGCGGCTTCAGGTAAAGAAAATAATTGTTCGTGCAGTGAGCCAAGCAGTGGATCATTTGGAGAAAACAACATTGTAAGAATGCTGCTCCTTTTCACGAAGTTATGCCCTTATTTTCTATTTGTTTAAACATGAAACTTATATGTTACATTAAAAAAACTTAATTTAACCTTTTTTTATTTTATGTCTTATACGGTCAGACCTTTCTATAACAGTATTACTATATAACAACCATTCACTATAAAACCCAAATATCTTTTGGAACCAATTTCCAATTTTCCATGTTATGTTATAATATATGTTCTCTATAACAACACTTCGCTATAACAACCAAAAAAATCTGGAACAAACGAGGCTGTTATAAATATTTTACTGTACAGCTTTCCTTCCATCTCTCTATGCCTTTTAAAGCTTTTGTGTTCTGGTCTTATTATGGATATGCTTAAAGCATAATTTCATTCCTAATTTTGTTGCCCATGGAGCTTTTATCATCTGGTGTTGTCATTCTGGACATGCTTAAAGCTTTGCATCCTTGCAATTATCACCTACTCGGATAATGATTAATGCTTCTGTCTTGTGTTGAAACACATAACCATTTAAAGACAGTTTAGATACTAGTGGCTTTGTTTCCGCATAATGCATTTGAGGAAAAAAGAAGTTGGGAACTCTCCTCTATGAATCTCAAAAGATAAATACCCCTATTTTTTGTAGCTCCAAAGTGGGGAACCATCATGGTTAGTGCCGTTCCTTCCGGCTCTCTAGAGCATGCTAAGTACCCTTTGTTTATGTATACTTTACATCTTTCATTTTTTTCCTGTGGATGCAAGAAGGCACTCAGAATCAGGCATTGCTACCGGATTATCCTCATCAATTCTGATCGGCGGAAGTATAAATGTGAGCCAAAGTACCAACATCTTTCATTTCGGAGTGAAACTTCATTATTTAGCGTGTTTTTCATTTCCTCCTTTATAGGATATGCCAACACCAAGTATGCGAAAATATTCCTCCGTTTTGGAAGATCTATCTGGCAAGACTGTCAAAAGAGAAGAATATGTTGCTCCAACTGAGGATGAGAAACCAGGAACTGCTAAAGTTAATCTACATTCTCCACTTCCAGATTTTGTTCATTTGTCTTCAGCAAACAAGGTTCCCAAAAGAGAAGAATATGTTGCTCTAAATGAGGAGGAGAAGCCAAGAACTGCTGAAGTTCATCTACATTCTCCACTTCCAGATTTTGTTCATTTGTCTTCAGCAAACAAGGTTCCCAAAAGAGAGGAATATGTTGCTCTAAATGAGGATGAGAAGCCAAGAACTGCTGAAGTTAATCTACACTCTCCACTTCCAGATTTTGTTCATTTGTCTTCAGCAAACAAGGTTCCGAAAAGAGAAGAATATGCTGCTCCAAGTGAGGATGAGAAACCAAGAACTGCTAGATTTACTCCACATCCTCCACTTCCAGATCTTGTTCATTTGTCTTCAGCAGACAAGGTTTGCACCGTATTCCGATATTGATACAGATACAATTTCTGGTTTGAATTTTCCTTCTTACTTCTGTATAAATTTATCATAGAAATATACTTTTATTGGCAGGCTCAAGAAAGCACATCCTTTCCTAGTCAAAAGTTAAAGCAGTCCAATTCAGAAGATGTGGAATTCCACTCGGTTCAGTCATTCTCGAAGTCTTTTCCGGAGCAGTATTCCGGGACAGAATCAGGTCTCCGGACCAACAGTGCTTCAATCCAAACACTTACAAAATTAATATTTGATTGCTCAATCAGACTGTCTTTAGAGGCGTTGGCTGACCCAGTGAACGAAGAAGAAATGTGCGGTGCAATTGCTGCTTTAAATGAAGATCCCTCATCGTTTAGTGACGAACATGTCAAGCAATTGGTAAAACTTAAGCATGAATTCCCTATCATGGTTAAGAAATGGAGGGACTTGGCACAAGCTGTATCAAGTTACCAGGAATTCTTGACCAACTTTGAAGAGGATAGGAAAAAACTGGATGAGTGGAATAGATTAGAAGCAAAGTTGATGGCGGAGTATGTGAAAAAGGAGGAGCAAGCTAGAGAATTGGAAGCAGCGCTTCAAACTATAAAGACCAGGCAGAAACAAATCATGGACGAAAGACTAGAAGCCACCCAAGAGGCTCAACGCATTGTCTTGTTAGCTCAAGAAAAAGTTAGCAAGATCGATAGCACCAAAAGTAAATTGGCAACAACAAAGATGGAAATGGATAGCTTGAGAAAAAATTGGTCCAATTTCCAGTCTTCATTCCCTTAGTTATTACTTTCAGTTCCTTCTATAGTCACAATTATATTGTAAACTTTCTCTTGACTTATGCCTTCAGATAGGCCTCTTTTGGTTCCTAGGACTAAATATGTTTTGGAAGGTGAAGTTATTATAGTCCATATGTACATAATATACATGTAGCTGCTGCGGCAGATTTTGACTTTGACTTTGGCTTGCTGTTGGATTACTCTCTTACTTGTACATAAGAGAGTGATTCATTACAAGGATCAACATCAAAATTTCTATCCAGTCAGTAATAGAAAATTGGAAAACACAGCCTACTTTGCTCGCATTCCTAAGCTCGATTTCCCTTGATTTTCTGGATATGATTTACGTACATGGTTGTATAAGGTGAATCCAGATTCCTTAGTAGACAGAGGCGGAGCTAGGATTTGAAATTTATGAGTTCTGAATTCATCACCGAACTCATATCTCGTCTTAGTTACTGGATTCACAATTAAATATTTATACATTTTATGAATTTTCTAATACAAATACAGGGTTTAAGCAAAAGTTATATGATAGAAACTAAGGATCCACCAAACTATAGAGAGAACCAGGTTCTCTATTAGTTCCCACAGAACACACACACAACAATTAATAAATAACACAATAGAGTTTTACGTGAAAGACTCTCAGCTCACGGGATTAAAAACCACGACATACACTCGTAGGATTTCAACTTCACTACTGAGCAAACTTCAGATTACAAACTATTGTAATATAGGAATTAACCTCTTAATCCCTCACTAACTTGTAATAACTCTATTACAAGCCCCTTTGTAATAACTCTATTACAAGCCCCTTTGTAATAACTCTATTACAAAGCTTACAACTCAACTAACTCTCTAGCCAAGACACAAACACAAGATTTATGGTTTTACAAAAGGTTTCCTATACAATGCTTCTAACTAAGCTAAGTAGGAATTACAAGTAAATCACTTTAACAAAGGTACAAGACAACTAAGGACATATAATGACTCAATGCGGGAAACAAGCCATTCGTTATGTTGTTCTTTGTTCTTGACGCCTTGAGTGTCACTTGCAGGTTGGCAACATACTTGAGAGGAAGCTTGATGAATTCTAGAATGTGCAAGTGTGATGTTTTTCCTTTGCTTCATGTTAATATTGCATAAGTGACATCACTCGAATGATGTAAGCATGTCTGGTACAAGGGTATTCCCCATAAAGTGACTGGTGTACTGTATGCACTGTTGCGTGTGTGTTGAGGCACAGTTGCAGCCACTTTACAGTTGTGGGGAGTTAACTGGTACAGTCAGCAAGGGAACTGATGTCCATCTGTTCCCTCTGTTATTTCTTTGACTATGTGTGCTGGAACATGTCCCAGACTTGAGACTTGTTGATCTTGAGTACTTTGAGGATGTAGAGTATGTTCCCCATCTGGTTCTTAACATTAAGTTAGTTAGATCATCAAAACATAACATGACTCATAACTTATCAATTTTTTCCTTTTTGATGATGACAAACTTATAATTTGAAATTCCTCATGAGAACCAGAGTACCATAAATAGTACCCAAAAACAAAATTTGTATTCCCCCTGAACCTGTTTCCCCCTCTGTTCCCCCTCAATTACTTTTTCCCCTTTTGGCATCATAAAAAGAGTAGTCACAAGTAATAAGCAAAAAGAAGTCTGGCAAGCTTAACTCATGCCATATGTGTGCACACAAGCATGACTAAAAACAGAGCAGAAGAGCAAAGCATGCATAGCAAAAGGACGGGATATTCATTAACTTTGGAAATAAACAAGGAACAGTGCCAGTTGTTACATAATCATCCACAAAATAAAACAAAAAAAAGAAGTACCGACCAATAAACATATCCAAGCAAGGGAGACCAAAACAGAGGATAAACAATTTGATCTTGACACTTGGAAGGGAACGATTTTAAGGAGCACTGGAAGGGGGAGGCAGAGATTGAGAGGCAAGAGTTCTAAGAAGGATATCCATTCGAGCATTTGCAGACCCTTGCTCAGTGAGTAACCTCTCCTTTAGGTCCTCAACCTGTTTCCTGAGATTAGCATTCTCCTTGGTCAGACGGGCAACCTCTGCGCCTTGTGTACTGCTAGAACCAGGTGCCTCCTGGGCCTGACTAAGCTGTCCCTCAAGAATAACATTTCGTGCCTTCAACTTCCTTATATCTTCATTGGCAATGTTTTGAGCTTCAATCAGTTGAGAGATAGTGGAATTTCTGCCACCCCCTTCTTATCGATGCACTCACACTCTTCTAAGGTGGTCTTGGAGAAGGTATGCTTGCGAGTACCCGCTATAGCCTTTCCTAGAGGGACTTTGAAGAACTCAAATACTTTGGTGAATAAAAACCCGTAGGGCTGCCCATGATTACCATCCTTGAAATCTGTCACTTTCTTCATGTGCTCAATCATGAAACCCGGCAGATTGATAGTGGAGTATGCATCCAGTGCTTCCATGAGGAACATGTCTGCTTGGGACGTAATGGAATGACTTTCTGCATGAGGGAGCAAAACCTTGTTCACCATCTCGAATAACAGCTGGTACACTGGAAGGAGGAAATTCTTGTGTACCCATTCCCCCTGTTGTACTGCATCATCCTTCAAAATGACATTTCTGAAGTTTAAAGAACAAGTCCCCTCAATGGAGGATATTCCGTTAGTAGGCACTCCCAAGATGGTTCCCAGCACAGCCTCATCCATCACAAAGTCAACACCATTCACCGTCATGCAGATGTTGTCATCCTTGATTGTGAAAAAGTCGGCATATAAACTGTGCACTTCTACCTCATATACCTTAGGACTCTCATTTGTGAACATATGTGTCCACTGTTGAAAGTCACAGATATCAACCAGTTGGCGTATTCCTGTCATGTCAAGAATATCAGGGGCAAATGTTTTGCCCCACAACACCTTCTGATTTCTCAGATTTTTCCTTCCTCTATTCTTGGCCACACCCACCTTGGCCTTCTTTGTGAAACCAGGTTCCTCATTGTTACCAGCCTTCCGTTTCACTGATTTTCTCACACTCTTCTCATTAGCTGTAGATTTCTCAGACACCTTCTCAGACACAGATTTTTCAGACACTTTCTCAACAGACTCCTCAGCCACTTTCTCGCCAGACTTGCCCACTTCAACATTGCTAACCTCCATCACTCTCACAGATGACTCTTTCCAAGACTTTGGAATAGTAGGTTTCTTGGAGGACTTACAAACTAAGGAACTGGGTTCCTCTTCCACCTCGTCATCAACGTCAATAATAAGTGCTTTAGGCACTACCTCTTCATGTACTAACTTTCCACCCTTCACCAACTTTCTCCTCTTTTTTTCTTTTTTACTTTTCTTCAGAGCTGACTTAAGAGCTTCCTTCATTTGCAGCCTAGTAGTAGGTCTTTTAGGAGTGGGCATTTTGGGAGTTTTTCGTCTACTCCTAGCACTAATAAAGCTTGCAAAAACTATATTGTCATAGTCTTCTTCACTACCCTCATTCTCTTCCTCAGACAGAGATCTCATCTTAGGAGCGACAATGGTTAATGGCTCAGCATAGAAATGAGGAGAGGGAGCGGGATAAGTACTGACCTGGGGTTCTTTTGAAGAACAAGGGGTTTCATCCCAAGTAGGAGCAGAGGACTCCTCTTTGGAAGAGGGATCAGGTCCCTCCTGTGGTTCCCCAATAGTAATTTCGGGTGCCAGATTTTCGACAGGCACCAGTTCCCTACCCTCTCCCTGTAGACTATCACCTTCCCCCTGAGACCCATTGGTTTCAGATACACCTTCATAACCACCAACCAAACATCCCTCAGTAGCTATTGACAACATGTTCTCTATGGCCTCTTGTTTTTTTAACCCCAAAGTAAACTCAAAAGGTCAGAAGGCACATGAGGAATATTACCTATAGGATCTGTAACATTCAAATCAAGACCTGGGGTAGCCATTTTTGATTCATCACCAGTACGAAGCACACCTCGTTGTGTCTCAGAACTCTCTTCCAAACGCAGACTGAAAACTTCCTGATTTTCTTCTCCCTCTATTATTTCTCCCTCAGCCATTTTTTCCGGCGAGGCAGAGGGAGAGGTCCTAGCTACAAACCTCTTGGGATTCGAAGTTTTACGACTCTAATGAGAACCAGAACTTGATTGGGTTAGAGAAGAGGCGAGTGGTTGGGAATCTTGCTTATGGTTTGGACTGGGTGGCGTAGGGGACTTAGACTCTGTCACTGGTACTTCAAGAGATGAAGATACAGCGGGGACGATACTGGGGACATTTGAGGCTTCGAGATTCTCGGACATTATGGAGTGTAGTGAGAGTTTATGAAAGAATAGAGTGTTTTGTTGTTGAGAGAAAAGGGAAATTTTGGCTTTTGATGTGAACAGTTGTGAGAGTGACAGAGTTTGGGTTTATTAAAAGGGGGTGAGGGACCGGTTGGGAACAAGTATTGATTTTCTGGGTAGATGGGTCATTTTGTAATGGGTAGGACGCTTGGGTTCTAAAAAGGGAAAAAGGAGAAACTGATAATTTAATGACGTGGCACCTTTGTTAGCCGTTTAAAAAGATATGCATGAGAGTACAAAGGAACTACTAACCTGTGTCAAAGGAAGCAGGTTCCCTGACAGATTTTGTAAATGTGAGCCTCATCCTTTTACCAAAGTACAGTACATTAGCTCCTTGTTTGCTCTGTAATTGCCATGCGTGTCTACCTGTAACGGTATAGAAATGAGTTAGACCTTGCCAGAAAACACTTTTTAGTTGTTTTACCTGTACGTTTCTTTCATAGCCAATCAGCGAGGGACCAGGTTCTCAGCTTGATTTTATCAACCCAAGCACCAAGAGATTCTTTTCAAAGTGTTCTCTGCTCAGTGCTTTGGTGAATATGTCTGCAATTTGATCTTCTGTGCTTCAAAACTTCATGCAGATAAGCCCTTTTTCAACATTGTCTCTGAGAAAATGATGGCGCACATCAATGTGATTTGTTTTCTTATACTGAACTGGGTTATTTTCCATGTTGAGAGCACCGGTGTTATCACACAGTAGTGGCACACAATCAGAAAATACGCCAAAATCCTCTAACTGTTGCTTGATCTACAACAATTGAGCACAACAAGAGGCAGCTGCTACATACTCAGCTTCTGCAGTTGAAAGAGCCACTGTGTTTTGTTTTCTTGCACCCCATGAAATGAGACACGATCCCAGAAAGTGTGCCATGCCAGAAGTGCTTTTCCTGTCCACCAGATAACCAACATAATCAACGTCAGCATACCCAATCAAGTTGAAATTATCTCCTGAGGGGAAGTAAA